AACCATCTGTATTCTTACTTAAAAGAACATTTATATAGAACAGATTTTTCAATGTCATCAAGCGTTAAAGATTGTAAAGCACTTATTATTTTATATATATACGCTGTTCTCATGATGATCGGCTTCTTTTTTTTTTCTATATACGTAATGATTATCGATAGTTTCCATCGATCGTTTTTCTTCTTGCTTTAGTCAATGTCAGATAGGATAGATTTGCTTACTTCTAATGAGACTCTTGACTTTCAGTATTGTCGTTATTGTAGACGTCATCAGTCTACATATCGAGAGAACGTGTATGTCCTTGGATTATTTTTATATAGGAAATAGTATACATATAGATCAACGGTTATTATTTATTTGTATTTCTTTTTTTTTGTTCAATTAATATAATTGAAATATTTGATTTAATACTGAAAATAAAGAAGCAAAACAACTGTAGGTAATTTATTAAAGGATTTAGTCGTCAAAATAAAGGCCTTGAATTGATTGACATCTAGCAAACATGAAACGAGCAAATTATATGTTGAAAATAGTTTAGCAGCTATGCTATTTTTTTCATCGAACGAATATAAGTGCAGAGAAAGTAAAGAAAAGATATATTTGGATTGGTAATATACAAGTAGGAAGAAAAAGAACGGGTAAGATGATACGATGTACAGGCAGGATACGAGCTGCGTTTGTTCTCTCCCTCTCTCTCTTTATCTATCTATCTTATTCTCGATATGGTGCAGAAAATATCTCGATAGTGGAAACAACGAGAAAAGAAGAAGAAGAAAAAAAAAGAATAATTAACGATATGGGTGCTGCCATAGCTGATGTTGTTGTTGTTGTTGATTTGCGGTGGTGGTAGCCAAGAATGTTCTTGCATCTTATAGTACTTGTCTAATAAGAAAAAGAATGGAGGATGTTGTATCCGTCTTTACTATTCTTTTGTATATGCATATACGCATCCACATAACGATGATGTTATTTGATTAGAACCAATATCGTTGAGTAAAATAGATATTTTGTGTATGTGTGCGTGTGTGTGTGTCTGTGTCTGTGTGTTACTTGCGCATCCGTATACAGCGGTTCGAGGGACATGATCTATGTGGTTTCTTTTCCCTATTTATGTGTCCTAATAGAAACAGCATGGAGAAACGGGCGCCAACATATGTGGTGTCAACAACTTTCTCTATCTCATCTTTCATGTGGTTTAGATAGCCTTGCTTAGTTTACTTGCTTGTCTCTCTCTTCTCTTGTTGTTTTTTATCATCACTCCTCTACTGCCATTGCAGCTGTAAGAGGGAGAGATGGACAACTACTACAATTCATCATCGAATTATACGAGCTTTTCTCGTGTTATGTATGGTGGTTCACCACGACATCATAATTTTGAAACACCATATGCTTATCGTGCGCTCTATCGACAACGATTACTTCAACGACCACAGTCAGTTGGTCCACTTTGTAAGACTGTTAATATATAATAATTTTTTTTATTATTTTTATTAAATTTGATTTTTCAGTAAATATAATTATTTATTTTTTTTATTTATTTAGCTCTTCCTGAAACACCTCGTCTTGAACCTCACGATTTTAATTATAGCCGACGTCCGGCACATGAAGCAGAAGTTAGTATATGGCATGAGCCCGATAGTAAACCAGTGTTTACATTTATGCTTCGACCACGTCTTATTCAAGAAGGCATTGGTTGTAAATTGATTTGTTGCGTTAATGGTAAACCTCAACCAAAGGTTAATAAATGTTTTTCTTGTTATTTTATCAACTAAAAGTAAAAATATAAAAATTTCCTTTTAATAGGTACAATGGTTTAAAGATCGTACTCAATTGAGCGAGCACGATACCCATTATATGACATCATGTGTTCATGGTGTTTGTACCTTAGAGATTACAGCATGTGAAACAGGGGATAGTGGAATGTTTCGTTGTGCTGCTGCAAATCCCTTAGGTACTGATGAAACATCTTGTTTAATTCATGTTGAAGGTAAATAAATAATTTTTAAACAAATTCTTTTTCTTTTTTATAATCACAAAAAACAAACATTATTTTCTATAGAAGTACGTCGAACACGACGTGCTCATTCAGCTCGACCAGGCGAAGAAGATACATCAAGTGGTGGAAGTCGAGCACGTTCACCATCACCTGTACGTGCATCAGGTAGAGATGCAAGTTGGCGTGATAAATTAGGTGCTGCTGGTAAACCTGCACGTGATACACTTGAAGTGGAAAAACCAAGTAAGTTATAGCATTTATTTCAATATAATGATTATTTATTACATCTTATGATAAACATTATCTCAAGATAGCTTTCTTTTTTATCTATGTGACAATTACGAAAGTATAATTCTCTTGTTGATTAACCAAAAAATATTTTCCTATTTGTTGATAGATAAAGAATCAATTTGCTTTATTTAGAACGTAAAGAACGTCGAGACCCACCGAAATTTACTGATCAACTTGTTGATGTTACTGTTTTCGAAGGTATATATATAATAATTTGTCTTTGTTTTTATTGAATATATTTTGTTTTCTTATTAGGTTCTACAGCTAAACTTCGCTGTGAAGTTAAAGGCAAGCCATCACCTAAGATTGAATGGTTGAAGAATGGCCAGGTATAAACATTTATTGAAAAAAAAATATTAAATAAACAACAAACAAAAAAATAAAATTTTTTTTTTCATAGTCTGTCGCAGTTGAATCTCGTATTCAACAAACATATGATGATGATGTCGTAATATTAGTCATCAAAAAAGTTAAATTAGATGATAATGGAGAATATATTTGTCGAGCTACTAATGATGAAGGTTCGGATACATCAAGTGCACAACTTACTGTCAAAGGTAGTTTTGATAGTTAATCTAATTTACATCTTAATGATTTATTTATATTTATAGCTCATATTGTCGGTGAAAATGAAGCAGAATATGCTGCTACATTAGCACAAGAAGATGAAGCAGCTGTTCAAGCAGCACCACAAGCAGCAAGTGAAGAAGCTCTTACTGCTCCTGCTCCTGCTGCTGAACCAACTGGAGGTGCTGCTAGTGAAACAGAAGCTAAACTTGAAGAAAAACTTCCATCAGAAGCTGTTGCTGAAGCTGCAGCAGATGCCAATACTTCAGCAGCACCAGCACCTGCCGAAGCACCAGCTACTACCGAAGCTGCTCCTGCTCCAGCAGCAGAACCAGCTCCACCTGCTGAACCAGCTGCACCTGCTGAACCAGCTCCACCGGCTGAACCAGCTCCAGCACCTGAGCCTGCACCTGCACCAGAACCAGTACCTGAACCTGCTAAACCAGCTGCTGGTAAAGCTGCACCTGGTAAAAAACCAGCAACACCTGCTGCACCTGAAAAGAAACCAATTGGAGCTGCTGCTTTAAAAAAACCTGAACCAGCTAAGAAACCTGAAGAAAAGAAAGAAGCTGCTGCACCAGCTGGCAAAAAACCTGCTGATGATAAAACAAAAAAACCAGCGGTTGATGAAAAGAAAAAGACAGAAGAAGCTAAACCGAAAGCTGCTGAAGAAGCACCACCTGCTGAACCCGAAAAGAAGAAAGAAGAAGCTGAACCAAAGGCAAAAGATGAAGAAGAACAAAAAGAAAAATCAGCTGAAGTCAAAGCAAAATTTGTTAAACATATTAAATCTCAAAATTTAATGGAAGGTGATCCATTAACACTTGATTGCGTGATCTTAGGTAAATATCTCTTTAAACTTGTCTATCAATTTGAAAATTTTTTCTTCTTCACATTTTTAGGTGGTAATGAAGAAATTGATTTAACATGGTTACGAAATAATAAAGAAATTCCCGAAAATCCTGATTTTCGACGTGAACGTGATGGAAATTCATTTAAATTACTTGTTTCTGAAGTGTAATTATATAAAATGATACATCAAAATCATTATTTTTTTGATCATTTTTTTGTTTCTTTTTTCAAATAGATTTCCTGAAGATTCAGGTGTCTTTTCAGCTTTAATGAAAAGTCAATCAATCGTTAATCCACGTTTTTCATCTTGCTCAGTCATCATTCAAGGTAAATATTATTCTTTAAATAATTAAATAAAATTGTTTGTTTACTTTTTTGTTAAGCTCGTGATGAAGAACCACTTGATCCATGCTTTGGTCAATTTCCACAAAGTATTAGTGTAGAAGAAGGTCATAAAGCGAAATTTTCATGCGCACTCAAAGGTTCAACACCAATGACTGGTAAATCTATACATATATTAATAATAAAAATATATATTCTTATCAAATTCTCATTTTTACTTATTATAGCTGATTGGAATATGAATGGTAAACCACTTGATCGTAAATCAAGTCGATTTGTATTTACAAATACTGAAAAAGAATTTTCATTGGAAATACCCGTTGTTTTGGCAACTGATGAAGGTCAATATCATGTTACGATTTCGAATGATAAAGGAGAAATAACTGCTGCATTCAGCTTACATGTCGATCAATCGTGAAATTAGACAAAATCATTAAATAAACAAAAATCATAATATATGTATCTCTCAATGTGTGTGTGGAAAGACTAAAAACAAAACAGAAAAAGAAAATCATAATTTTGACTTTTCTTTTGTTTTCATATCATCTATTTGTATTTTTTTTAATACCTTGGCCGCTCAACCTTTTCTTTTCTGTTTTTCTTTTTTTAATGTCTATGTTTTTTCTCCCATTTAGAAAATTTAATGCCTAACCTGTTCTTATTCTTATTAGAAACACGCTCTATCTATATTTCTTTACACAAAAAAATGGTATTCTTTGATGTGTGTGCGTGTGTAAATTGTTGAAGTCTTAACATCCTCAAGAAAGCAATTACAAGAACAAAATAGTCTAGTGAGAGACATATGATTTAAATCTTAGCTTAAGCGTGAATTTAATAAAAATTTTTATTTTCTTTTCTTTTATTTAAATTTTTCTTTATTCTTAATAAAAAAAAAACTATCAACAATAATAACGAACATATAATAATGAAAAAATCGAATAAACTAATGAGTTCATATATGCTTGTTTTTAATAAGTTGCCAATATTGATTAAATTTACTAAAAGTATCACTCGTATTACCATGATGAATACTGTCTGCACATGCGAATGCTTTTGAATGACGAAAAAAATCGTCACAGCTACGTGTAAATTCAATCTTATAATCAGATAAGGATTGACGTGGAATGGATAGATAATCAGGTATGATACCACTGTACAAAGAAAAAAAAACCATATTAATACAGTAATTGTAATTTTCATCAAAGAAAAAAAAAAAACAAAGCATACGTTAAATAAACATCAGATATTCGGAATGGTTCTGGATCTTGATAAGCAGTATAGAGAATGGCATCTCTTGCTTTTTTTGATACTAAATAACCAAAACCAGATAAAAATGTTGGATATTGTTTACATGAATATTCATCATATGTAACAATATATCGACCTGTTACTGAATTCTTTGAATGACGAAATACAAGTGAATTTTCATGTTTATAACCATAAATATTCATATCTGATATTAAAAATGAATTATTTGTTGGTTGTTTAATTAATGGCGAAATAAATTTTAAAAGCAATAGTAAATTAATAAAAATATCATCATCAGTTTTAAATAGAAATTTTGCTCTACGACAATAACGAAACGACCATTCAAATAAAGATAAAACACGATGTGTAACTAATGTATATTCTTGTAGTAATTCAACTTGAATTATATCATGAAAAAGATTATTTTCAAGTCGAATATGATGAATTAATTTTTCGTTATAATCAATAAGAAACAAATATTTTACATTTATTGTAGAATAAATACCAAGATCTTTTCCTGATGCCCATGTACGACGAATAGCATCACGTGTTTGATAATTATCAGATTTTGATATAATTATTATGAGTAAATCGACTAATTCATTTAAACATGCATCAGAATTATCTATTATGAATGTATAAAGATCGGTACGTTGAAAACGACGAGAAGATTGATATCTTTGAGAGGAAATCAATATTGATGATGACGAACTAAATAAAAAATAAGAAAATCTTTCAAATAGATATGATTATAGAAATATTATTCGTTCTTTTAAAATCAAAAGCAGAATAGTGGTTTAGTTTTCATCAGAAAAGAGATATTCAAGTCGGACTGATAAGGTTAAATGATGAGAAGATAACAAATTGAAACAACAAATTCAACTATTTTTCTTTTGATAATTAAATAAGTTCTATGAATAAAACTTTCTCAATGTCCATATTCTTGACTGATAATTTAGTCAATGATTTTTCTATATATTTTAATCGTATGATGAAACTTCTTTTCATGACATATTCATGTAATGCCTTCGAATATAACAAATTCAGATATTTTATACTCAAACAAGTTTGAAATTCAGTCTAGTATTGATATTGAGCTAACATTTATGTCTCTATCTAATAAAGAGCGCGAAAACAATTCTGTTTTTGTTTATACATCTGACACATGACAGATGGCTAAAAAACAAAAGTAAACAGTATACGAAAGCAAACGGTTGGTAATAAAACAAATAGTGTCATATTAAAGGACTTTCTCACGAAAACATTGATTAGCTCTTTTTGAAGATAAACAGAATATAGTGAAGAATATGTGTCTTAGAAGAATTTGTTAAAGCAAGTTAGATTTTTTCATTATTCATAATGATGATAAATATTTATGTCAGAGAAAAATGCTATTAATTTTCCTAATAAATTTATGGAATTCACATAATTTCTATAAGAAATAATATTCTATTGAAAAATCTCTCGTGAAAAAGTTCGTACTAAATTCGTTCCAAGGCATAAAATACAAAATAACTATATAATTTTTTTCATCAATCAAGTTTACATTCCATGACAAATATTTGTGAATTGCTTTGAACGTAGTTTTAGAATATTATTGATAATTCAAAGAAATTCTATCAACTGTCTGAAATTTTTGTTTTACTCAAACCAATCTATAATAGATATATTCTATCATTCTCGAATCTTTAATCTATGGAAAATAATTCAAGGCACTTAAATGAATCAAGAGGATTAGAACTGATTATAGCTGTCAATTAATGACGAGCGGTAACCGAAATTATGCCGATGGGCGATAGACAACTGTACTTTTGCAAGATGTCATGAAACAACATTAATATTGAATATATGTAAGGACTGATGCTAATATTGTTATTATATAGATATATATATATCATAGCTTAGAGTCATCAATATAGTTATTTGGAATGTTTTTATCGTCATCTAATTTACAGTCAAATAAACGAAATTCCAGAAGTCTATTAATAGACTAGATTAGCGAGAGAACATATCCAACTGTCAAATACTATTAGACTTCATACTATAGTTACGAGTCTTCCTGATAAGACTAGGATAAGCTTAAAAAGATTCGGATCCATGGCGTTCTAATAGAGAGTTATGGAAGTTTTAATGGATTTATTACTGAGAGCAAGGCATTGTTGAAAAATCCAAAACAGAAAGTTTCGACCTGGAAAATGGCCTACAGATACGTTTGATAGCTATTGAATTTTAGAAATCGAATATCTCGAAAAGAATATGTTCATTTTCGTTGAAAGTTTCAGAATTATCTAACGACTATCAAGCATGCATATAACTCAAATCTTAGCTCGAAACTCTTTGTTTCGAATTTTTCCGTATTATTTCACTCTCAATAATGGTTTTATTAAAACGCTCATATCTTTTTTTTTTTATCAGCACATCATGAGCCAAAATCTTTTCAAGCTTGTCTTAGTCTTATAGATACTTAATCATGGCTATAATATGAAGTTGAACGATATCCATCAGTTCTGTATGATATCTCATAAATTAGATGCCTTGTGAGTTCCTTAAATTCATTTAAGACTTTTATATTCCAGAAACATTTTGTTTCTACCTGGCTCTAGTACTGATAATTCCAGTATTGTTTTCGAGTTGATTAGTACTATTATATATGGCCATCGTTTTTGATATATTTTGCATTCTTGCACATTTTAATCCTAATGAATATTCTCTTTGAACATGATTATAAAATTTCATCAAATCATCTTGATTATATTCATCTTTAAGTGTATTTTTAATAAAGTCAATTGCTTTATTTGTTTTTATTACAGATTGATTATGCTGTTGTTGACTAAGAATAGTATTTGATATTCTTGTATTTGTTGTAGATGAAACTAGATTTATTTCTTCTTCAGTTCGTCCACGAATGTAATAAATACCACCAAAAAATGCATTAAGACACAAAAATAATAAGAAGAAATGTTTTTTTATAAAGTAGTTGACACGATTATTGCTATGCTTTGAATTATATACCATTGGATAAATTATACGTTTCTTAACCGTATGAACGATGAATAAATTATCTAAACAAAAACAAATAAATATATATTTTATTGAGAAAATTATGTTTTCTTCTGTAAAATATTATATATTGATTGTTTAATGTTGAGGTTACGTAAACAGTATTCATACGAGAAGAATGGTACGAAAAATGAAGTTATGACTAAATTCATAGGAGTAGACCAATCATAACTACGTAGTTATGTATAGTTCAGAATGTCGTCACGCACTTAGTTTACTTTTCTTTTTTCTTTTTGTTTTCTCACATGTTCTGCACTACATACTACTATTTGTATTTTATTGTCAAACTCTAGCCGGGTCAGACCTTGGGTCAGGTAATAAAAGTTTGACCCATGCTGAACAGTGTTGTCTATTGTTTGATGTAAAAGTGATCTACAATTTTAATTCATTGCTTTACAAACTAATATGATATTTGTATATCTGATATAACTATCAATTGTGTAATTAATAAAAAAGAAATATGATTCAATCTACAAGATATGGAACAAATAATTCAAATAGATAAGTAATTCAACACACAAACAAAATTATTTCATTCGAAAGATTTCAGAGAGTAACTGAAATAACAACGCATCAATTAACACAGATTTACTAAAGAGTCTATTGTAAATATGTTCCGGCACATAATTTAATAAGTGATTCATAATATTAGTACATTCTTTATTAAAACAACATGAATATCATTATATAGAAAAAAAAATACGATGCACTCGAGTTTCATTCGAAGGCAAAATGTGTTCCTTAGGTTCAAATGTTGATTATCGGAAAAAATCAATACTTCCTAAAAAAATGAATAATCGTTGCTGTGATTGGTCAAAAAACGTTTTTCTCGAAAGGATATGTATACTTAGGTAGAAATGAGGATTTTTCTATATCGGTACACATTGGACAAGTCCGGTTTCCATTAATAATATGATCGATGTCAAAATAGATGTCAAAATGATATTAAGCTATTGCGAAATTCATTACCAAATAGATATGAACAAGTTTTTTACGAATACTATTTAATTGTCTCTCTCTCTGATTACGGCTCTTCACCTTGTCAAAAAAAACTATTTTTGCCCTAGAATAAATAATGTGCCTGAAAATTCCAGAAAGTATGAATCTGAACATAGAAAACTTACAACGAAAATTCCAGTTTAAAATACTGAGTTTCTCAAGAGTTATTTCTATTGTCAAAGCCCAACATGTGTCTCTGTAACGGCCCAGAGTTCTTCTCCAAATCTAATCGTACAGACATCGAGTATAGCGTCGAAATGTAGCCAATACTTGTCGCTACATTTTAACAGAGCTAAATTTTTCAAATTCTTCTTTATGAATTTCTGAATGTTAGCTTTTCCGAAAAAACAAGCAAGAAATACGGATATTCCTGTTGACACAGATCCATTTTTCCCAGAACTAAGTCGAAAATAAAAAAATTCAACTCTTTTACGTTGCGAGAGAGAATTGTCTGTTCAATTTGAAATTTTTTCCAGCATATAAAATGACTGAGAAATGCGTCACACACTAGTAGAAAAAAGAATGAAAAGCTCATTTTCGGAAAAATTCCAAATAAACTTTGTAATTGAAAATTAACATTTCTGTTTAGTAGAACGATAGAGAAATTGCACTGATCGTATTCGAGTATAAGTTATTGACTATAGTGAATCAAACAACGACTTGTGCGTAATTCTACGGCATCTAAAAATCTGAGTCTAGAAGAGAAAAAACATATGGAAGTGAATATGTGTATGAGTATGCATGTTACCCATTCACCACCAATTGCTTAAATAGACAAAAGATGAGAGGAAAAAAGGAATAATTATAAACGTGAAAGAATGTAGTCGAAGAAAGATCAAACAACTCATATTTATGCCAAAAGGCGTCTCTTCTGTTGTGACACTGTCAAAATAATTCTATAATTAAATGAATACTGTTAGGAAAAATAAATACTAAGCATGGGTCCAATTCGTTCAATGGCTTGTAGCGCTTATTATTTCCTACTTTTGATCGATTCTTCACTATAGGAAGTCTTAGAAAAAGTTCAAAAGACAACAATAACTGCTATATTCAAAAAAAAACTCATTTTTTCAGATTCCAATATCATCAGTAAATCCTGTGTAAAACAGTAGAAAAGTACTAGAATTTCAATAAAAAAATGCTTCTTTTAACAGTAGACAACAAGGGCTAGTCAATCATATAAAAACCTCAAATTTGATTTTTTTTTTGAGGAACTACGCGATTTTTGACGGGGACGGTCATAATTCTCTATCGTCAACTATTTAGACATATACAAAAAGAACTGTCACTAACTTTTATATCTGTATCGATGTTAATTATCTCAAATACACAAGAAGTTACTTTTCTTGATGGCTTCCGGTGAGAAAAAAGAACATGCTTTTGAAGAATCAGAAAACTGATACTAAAGATGCAATTATGAAATTTTATTCTCATTTATAAACGAGTATTTGCTGACTTTTCACTATGGAGATCACTGCAACAGAAAATATGAAGTATCCATGCAGTCGGTCTAGAAAGTAAAAACAAAACTCACGACAAATTGCATAAATGTTGCATTTCGCACTGCATCAAAAAAGAAAGAAAAGAAATTCATGATGGACTACACAAAAATTCGGCGCTTTAAACCACTTTAAAAAGAAATGATTTCGGCAACAGTTCACTTAAATGTGATGCTACAATGCCGCATAAGTGATAGACTTGTCGACTGACTGCGGAACGTTCTTCTCGAAAAAATACATCACGATCCATATAGTGATTAAGATTAAAATGAAAATACAAAGTGGTCATTGCGAAATGCATTACTCAGAGAGTATTATTAATAGGTAGCAACATGCTTCTGATGAATACTATCGGCAGATAGTCTCTCTAATTAATTCTCTATCATCAACTACGGTGTTATATATATATATAAAAGAGAGTTGTAATTCAATCATTATGTTAATTACATCGAATATCGAAAGAAAGTAACTTCACAAAGAATTGTTCTTTTCATAGCTTCTTATGAGAGAATGAAATGTGCTCTTGATAAACTAGAAAATGGATAATGTATCAAGAAATGTATGTAATCTTGAGATTTGGGTCAATATTAGTTAACGAAAAATTGTATGTAGTATAATCTTTTATAATGATTTATTTTTTGCTCGAGTCTTACTTTTTTAGATTAAAATTATATTACCCATAATATACTGTATTATACATGGTATATTCTATCATATATGATTAGTTGTATTATATAAGGTGTATTATATTATACATGGTGTACTGTGTTATACATAATGTATAGTATTATTATATTTGGTATGCTGTATTATATATGGTGTATTATATTATACAATATCTATGATAGCTACGAAATTTACACGGGATTCTATAGGTAGTGATGTCTAAGATTATGATGCACACATATATATTAATATTTCACTACTATTCTCTATTTTTCTTTGCGTGTCTTTTTGTTTTTAACATCTATTATTTGTCTTGGTATAAGTTGAAAATGATTGTTTACGATTGAAAATTTCCGCACATATATTAAAACAAAAAATAAATCATTATAAAAAAATTATACTACATAGAATTTTTCATTGAACAGTAGAAAATGGATGATACTAATTCGTCTGTGAATTTTTTTCTTTGCATTCTTACGAGTATTTTCTGAATTCTTCTCTTTGAGATCGTCTTGATGAAAAACAGTAATTTTCGAAGTATATGTCAAGAAATGAAAAAAAAACAATTCGCGAAGAAACACATAAATGCCATACTTCGAGCTGCATCAAATATTTACTTGTATATATAGAAATATTCGAAGTACTCGATAAATTCAATCAAAAGTACGACGAAATAAAAAAATCTATGTTAATTATGATGAAAAAATGTTTCTTCTCTTCTGAAATAGTCTAAAAGATGCCTTTAGCAAAAGAAATTGATTAAGAGTTTTAAAGATATTGTTTTCAAATAATTTAATGTACGTACTGATGATAATGTAGTCGATGAACTATCGTTTATGTTTAAATATAAATAAAGATCATGCTGATTCGTAATAATATCTCATGGTTGACTTATTGAAATGGTTATTGTTAGAGTTTATATCGAATCTAAGTGGGGAACGCCCTCTTTTTACTTCGTTAGCAATGACTTCTTTCATTCGATATTGGTCTATATCGTGAACACTATAATACTCACTGACATTTAAATCAATACTTTTACAGAAAGAGAGTTTCTTTTTTTTACGGAATTGTTTATGCTATTCTTATTACCCTACATTCTCTTATTATTTTCTCTGTTATAGAGGTTCATAACAGAGACAGAAAAAAGGCTAAGAATCTCATTATGAACCAGTCTTATTGCAAAGATTATTTCTTCAAAGGTTCAAGTGACAGCCGGATAGTCAAATTCCAAACGAAACTACAAAATTTTGTTGAAAAATTTAGTAAAAATATTAGGAGAAAAAAATCTTGTTTTGTACGAAGGAAAGCTTTGAAAACTAATTCATTCTAGACGCTTTCATTGCCAACTAGTACTCATCGAATCAGCATAGTCTTCGCCCAAAAATGATTTAGCACATAAGATAGCTCTCTTGCAAACTATTTACATTTGTCCATAATAACTTCGAAGTTGGAAAGTTTTATAAACTATATTCAGAGTCTAATAAAAGTTTTTAAAATGCCTATCCATTTCAAAATTTTTGAATAAAAATCTTTGACGTTTGTTAAGTGAAAGAGAAAGAAGAAAAAAAAAGATATACTGCAAATATGTATGATTGTATCATTAAATCCATTCTCATTTAAATCTGATGCTCATTGGCTGAATTCTTGCTGACTTCATTCATCACTAAACTCAACAAATTCATTCATAAATAGTTTTAGTCTTTTAATATCTTTTCACTCGTTCTAACTGATATTTGACTATACTCTGTTTATAACTATAGTTTACAGAATGTTTTATATAAATCATTTTATATTTTCAAAAGCACACATCAAAAAACAAAATGTCATAAAAAAACCCACATCATAAACATATGAATCGCAGCATAATGGTAAAATTTTAAACTTTCTGTGTAAAATTAACCTTCAACAATTCTATATGAGTTAATTTGATTTTAATTCGACAATTTATTTCAATCGTATATTCGATACCATTTTGAGTCATAGTGGTTAAGATCAATATTTAACAAAAAAAGGCCAAGATATGCAACTAATCTTAGTTACACTTTATTCATTACCTTTTTTATGTCAAATAGAGTTCGCCCCTAACGAAAATATTAGACAATTTTGCATTCATAGGAGAGAGAGAGAGAGACAGTTTCATTATTTCAACTCATTTTCTTCAAAGACTAAATCATGAGTCAGTATTTAAATGACTATCTTTCATCTGACTAATCAATAGTGACTCATATTGAGATAGAGTGCTTTATTCTATTCATGTACTTACTAAATGAATGGAAAGAATAGTCAATCGTAAATTGATTTACAAGTGATTTATCATTATCAATCACTATTAAACTTAATAATGATGATGATGCTTCTTCATAATCATTCATAGACAGAAGGAACAGGTTACTTTCTTTTATTAAAAAAAAAACATCTTCAGTTTCGTGTTTTAAAGCTTATAATTTACGATAAAAAAATTTTATTGAAGATGTATCGATAGTTATAAGTAAATTTTTTTACATCAGAGTTTATTTCTTTTTCAATTACCAATATTTTTTTCAAAGAATATTAACTTGAGTATCTAAATTTAATTGAATTATTTTTTGTACAAAACTTTCATGTTCATTTTCTATATTCTGATATCTATTTTTACATTGATCCTTGCATTTTTAATTGATATAATAAGCAGACGTTGTTTTCTGGAGAAAGTATCCGATATAAATGAATTTGAGATTGAATAGAAGAAATAGTTCCATATTTTGTTATTCGATATGAAATGATTAAGTGTGATCGTTTGTTTGTTGTTGTATGAAAATTTAATAGAAAGTCACAAACTTTTGAAGTCTTTCTTTCTTAAATATTTGGATTCAATTAATATTATTCTTTATCACGTGACACTCTTTCAGATCAATATGTTTTCTTTTACTATCATAGAGATATTTGGAATAAATTTATGGTAGAATCGTATTTTTTAAGGTCAATAATGATAAGAATATTCAACATACGAATGAACTCTTTGCTTGAATAACTATATAATATGATCATCTGTATTTGATCAATAGGGATTAATTATGAACAGAAAAGGTAATAATTAACATTAAAAGTTATGAATTTAGTTGCAGATTTTATCGTTTTTAATGTATTTGCAAAAAAAAATGAAATGTATCCATTGACCGATAATCTCTTTAGAAAATTCAGTATACTTATTGGACAAAATTCATCATACATTTGAAAATCTCTACAGAAGAACATCAATATCAGTTGATCTTTAACTCAGATCTTGCTGCAAAAATTCCGTAAAGGACTTCATACTTTAGTATTGATATGCCCAAAAATAGACAAATTTAAAACTGCCTATTTGTGAAATCACATCATTGAAAAATTGATTTATTAGAGTTTTTGAACTATCATTCAAAGCAATATGGATACTTTAAACATGCATCATTTTCAACATACTTTTTTATATATAAATACCTGTTAGAGACAAGTTAACAATTCACAAAGAATTAAACCAAACAATTAATATAAAGTTACGTCCCATGTAAAACATGTTGTTCTTATGTTTTTAGTTGTTAATCTACCTTTGATGATATATGACACCGTTATCAATCGATTTTTATCTTTAGCTTTCTATGCTCTTTCTTTCTCTCGGTCGCTGTGTTTTGATTCTTCTCTATCGTAAGATTTCCTTGTCTGCATTTTTTAATTTTGGGACCTTTACTATCGTTCTCTTTCTTCTTCTTCGCATTATCTTATTCGTATTGTTCTATTCATTCATTCTTCATCTTCTTTTACTTTGCATTGTCAACTTCATTCATAGAGACTTTAGAAAAATACTCGTTGTAAAGTATGACATACAATTTATTCAATTTAATATTTTCTGCAATGTCAATCACTACTGAATTGATTGTAGTAGGTAATACTCTAGAAAGAAAGGTTGTATCAAGCAGTACAATATAATGTTCATTCATTTGATTGATCATTCCATGAAATAATGATCTCATAAAAGCTGGACCACCGTAACTGAATGGCTGCGTTGTTCAATTGATATGTATCCACAAGGTGCTGTGTGTAAACTTCAGTACCCCTAGGCATGGAATGATCCCGAACAAATGTTTAACGACTAGTTATTTCGGATTGTCTGTCCACTCAAGCATGCTGACTACGTTGTGACATACACTTGTTCTTATTGTTAGTTACTGTGTTTGACGATCTCAAGCAATCGAGCGCAAGAACTTTACATTAATCCGACTTTCTGTTCAGAGATACAGCTAGTCATTGTTGTAGAGAAGATATCGGACTTTTGAATCTATCATTAGACAGTGCCTTATATTGCAAGGTAGGTCAAAGACAAGAGGTATTCTTCCTTCTTCATAAAAGTTCAATGAATAATATTTTCATCTATTTGAAATATGGCTAATATGGAAAATCGCTGAATCTTTAAAGAACAGCTTCATATTATTTTACAAATTTTCTAGTACCGACCAATACCAAATAGGATACAACAGAGAAAAACTATCTATTAATTTAGAAAAATAATGTTTTCTATGTATTTTATTTTTTGTATTTTTATACAACTTGAGCATCAATACTGTTCATACAACGTAAACTATCGTTGAACAAGAAAAATATGAAACTGAATCTTTTCGTAGCATAAAGTGTCTAGAATTATAGTAATTTCTCGAACGTGAGAAACGTCTTTGGTCGTATATTTTAAGGTTTTGGTCTTTAATAATTATGTCAACAAATTAACTATTGTTGTTTCCAACCTATTTACATAATCTTAACTGTATCCTTCATAATCGAAATCTTACTTTTTGCTTTGAATGTGAAAAAAAAGCAAAAAGACTTATTTGATTTGATTGCTCTTTTCATTCTACACAATACCTTTCATTATCAAGACAAAGAAACTAGCAAACACTTTGTTTCTCTTGAGCAGATAATGTGCAATTCTATTATGTTGAATATTTAATTGACAATAGCTATCGTTCAACACATTGAAAGTTTAAATCAATCTTTGATGGAATTTTTAAAACCTCATAAAAAAGACCAACAATAACTCATTTCAAAATTGGAATTAATCTTCATTATTCTTCTCACAAAAAAAAATACCAATAGTTAATGGTACAATCAGGGAATTACTACGTGTAATCTTTATTTATTTTGAATATCTTTTCATGTCAAATAAGGTAAAATGGACTAAAATAAATGTCAAAGTTTGGAACTATTTGTTATTGGTTTATTTAATGTTGAATGACTTTGCCACCAAATGCAGCCACTAAAAATTAAAAAGAAAACAAATTATTATTCTTATTACTATTATATGATATTAACCTTTGTTATTGAGAGGCAATTGAGCATGAGATTTAGCAATATAATCTTTTATTTCGGGTAATTCACTTATTGTTTTCAACAATCGTTTAACATTAGGATATTTATTAATTAAAGTATGTTCTTCATCCATTGATAAAGCAGTATCAATGTATGAATACAATTGAAAATCAGCTACAGTTGGTCCATCACCAACAGCAAATTTTGTATTATATTTGCCTAAATAAGCATCGAACTTTTGTAATTGTTCTGCTATGGTTGTTTCAGCAAATTTTTTTCTTTCTGCTTTGGATTCTCCTTTTGGACCATAAAAGACTTCGTTTAATTTCATACGAAAGTCAAAAGCTTCTTCACATAACATCATCGCTCGTGCTTCTTCATTTAGATTCTTTCCCAAAAGATTTAATTTACGTCCAAGATAATATAAAATAGCTTTTGATTGACTAATTTTCAAATCACCATCAAACAAATATGGTAAGTTAGGAAAATCTAGAAGATCAATAAACAAAATGTAAGAAAACATATAAATATTGATTTACCAAGACCAAGATTTGGTTTTTCACGAAGCCACTCTTCTCGGCTGTATTCTGGACCTTCACCTTGTTCATATAATTTGTCTGTAAATGGTGTTTTGGTATAATGTAGAGCCAAACGAATTGGTTCCGCAAAGCCACGAATTGCCCAGTAGCCAATGACAATTTGATTTTTATCACCGCTCGATTGAGCCATTTTTTCTTTTTTTTTTTGAAATAATCTAAAATAAGTAATTTATGAAATATAGCTTTAAAAGAACAGGACAAAAGAATGAGATGTTAGTAGCAAACATGGTTCTTTTATACTTGAGCCCTCCAAAGCATCTTATTACAATTCACTTCCTCGCTGTCACCCTCTTTTTCTTGCTCGTTCTGTGACCTATCAGATGCATTGGGGCGCTAAAATGGAGAAGGGCTGTAAAAAAATGACGCAAGCTACTCTTTTTCATTGGAAGTTTTTATTTACAAAAAAAAAATCGAGCAGACAGAAACAAAGTAGACGGCTTAGTGAAAGAACAGACGACATTTACTTTGCATTTTTCTTTTCTATATGTCTCTCTTTCTCACATTAATATGATAACTGAAGGCTTTTTTAAGGTTTTAACCCAGTTGTCAAATAAAAAAAGAATGTGATTGGTGATTCCATATACAAACGGAAATCACATTTCTTAATTTAATGTTTAATTCATTGAGTCCGTTTCGAGCCTAAATTTAGTCTAATATACTCTTTCCCAGAAAAAAAGTACTTTTGTTTGGTCTATTAATAACAAATGCATTTTTCAATATCTACATCTATATACGAAATCATCCGATAAAAAAAAGGAAGGAAAAATTCTATTTCATTCTTTAATAAAACAAGAAAATGAAGAATTTCACGATTTTTGTTTTGGAAGAAAATTTTTTCAGAAACGTATTATTAAGAAGGATTTTTTTACCTAGCAACGAAGGAGAATAGAATCGAATAATGGTTGATGACACATAAAATAGCATTGGGTAGTTTGTCTGTTAAATCAATGGCACAGAAAAAATATAGAGTTACACTGTCAAACAGTGGATCATTTGAACGAACCTCTGGAAAGCTTTCCTCAAATTAGAGATAGTACGTTCGAATTAAAAGAAAATTGAAAATCGTTTGATTGATCATTAACTCAAAAAAATCCATTTACCGACATGTGTAACTTAAAATACATTTGTCACTTTTTAGTCTGTTGTAAAAAGCATGCGTTATCACCCCCTTGACATCTTGCAAATCTATCATATGGCAATTTAGACAAAACAAAAATACAATAAAGTATTATCACTTTTGTTAATGTGTTAGACTCTAGATGAATGACGTTATTTTTATCATATTATAACTTAGTTATATACTTGATTTAATGTTAAGCTAATGGTTTTTATGCTGTAGTTTAGGTATAAAAATATTCTTTATTTAATTTGTGACGGAACAAAATAATTCTTATGACACGTCATTTTCTATAAATTTGTTTTATAGAATGAAAAATTCTTTGTTTGAAAACTTCTTTAATTTTTGTCACACTAATCGTTTTTCATTCTGCAAATGATAAGCTTGTATCAAAATTGACAACAATTTGTCTCATATGAATTTCTTCTGTTTTGTTTTGAATATCTATTTTTTGTCATTGATTTAGTTATCTTATTTAAAATGTTTCAAAATTCTCTTTAATAGCAAAGTGTAATAGTGTACTTTCACGTGTGCTTTATGTTATCGAACAGGAAAAAGAATTCAGTCCACAACGGTAGTTAGTGTTTATGTTGAACAAAAAATAAGAACCTCGTATCGAGATATACATTCTATCTTCTATTGACAAGAAGATTCAATCAATAAACCAGCACAGATAATACTACGAGAGTCATGATATCGTTGTACATATAAATTCAAAAACAAACTATCATCAACTACAATATGAAATCGTTTATCAACTCATCATTTAATACATGTAGATCGTAAAAGTTATAAATTTCCATCAACATTAATATCGATAGTAACATCAATGAATTGATACTATCAACAAAATTTCATAAATGTAATTTGTATTTTCCTCGACTTGATTGATACTGCATGTGTTAAAAAACGTGATCATTGATACTGGATCCAAATGAAAAGGTAATTTGATTTGCAATGTAATTATATAAGTACATATTAAATTCTACTGTTTTCATTCTAGATCTAAGCGTGTTGCAACATCAATCTCAGCTGCAGAAATATTTGTTTGATTTAATTGATCGAAAATCAACCTTTGACAATTCATCAACTGAAGGACAATAATTAGTAAGAGAAAATAGAAAGTAGCTATTTTCTTTCAATCATCCACATGCCATCAATATAATGTTTCTTGTAGGTTGATTTTCATGGAGAGAAAAAATTTGATCAAGTCAAATTTATCTATCCAACTCGACCAACATCTATTATTCTTAACAAATTTCAATTGAATATCAAACCAAGTAAATAGCATAAGTTTCGATTTAATCATAATTTTTTTAGAAATTTTTATTCACTGATAAGGTCAGCTTGTGGCTTTTGTTAATATGTCTGAATTAAAACTTTCTTTTAAATATTACTTATGTAATATGATTTGTACAGTTACATCCGGCTGTGAAAAATCAACAATTATTCAACTGTTAGAAAGATTCTATGGTGTTACAAGTGGTCAACTAGTTAGTATTTCGTCAACGTATAGTTTAAGTATTCATGTAAAATTCGTCCACTCAGTATAGGTTCTTGATGGCATTGATATTCGTCAGCTAAATCTGTAATGTATTTGTTCTTGTTAGTCAAGAACCAGTTTTGTTCGATTTAACACTTGCTAAAAATATAACCTATGGCTTAGAAAATGCTTCAATGATAGATATTATCAATGCAGCAAGTACAGCTAATATTCATCAATTGATCGACCAATTGCCTCAAGTTAAACAATACAAAAATATATAATGTATTTAGTATTATTGTATGATTTTTTTAGGGCTATGAAACAAAAGTAGGGTTAAAAGGAAGTTTTCTGTCAGGCGATGAAAAGCAACGAATTGCTATTGCTCGAGCTCGTATTCATCGACCTAAAGTATTGCCCCTAAATGAAGCTACAAGTTCCATGGATTCATATAATGAACAAGTATGTTTTTGTCAATAGCAAATTCATCTTTATTTTTCAATTATAGCTTCTACAAGTAGCTCTTGAACAAGCTCAAACAGAAGATTTTAGTCGAACATTACTCATTATTGCTCATCGTCTTTCAACTATTCGTTCATGTGATTTGATTTGTGTACTTGATAGAGGACATATAATGGAAAGTGGTATTCATACAGAAATGACACGCGAACGTGGAGTTTATTATTAAATGCTTGTTCAAAACAATTTATAATAATCACTAGTGAACTAATTTGAAATTTAAACTACAGTTTGTTAAACATCAAGAAAAATTTTGTCTAAAAAATTTGATGTATGATAGAGTTAAATTGTTCAATTTACTACACCATTATCATCTTTCATAACAAGTTGAGTGTTTAAAGTTTGATATCTGATAAATCTCATATACATAGTAATGACGATCATGATGTGCTCCATTCTAGATGGAAGAAGGAAAAACAGAATACTATATGACTTTTGTCGAAGTCAATGCTTAGCGACTACAATACTGTAATAAGAAAAACTGCTTGAAGATCTTTGGCTTAATTTTGCATCTATGCAAAGTATTTTGATTACTATTGATTCACAAAGATTAAAATAGTACTTCCATTTCTTCGTTTTTGAAAACAAGAAAAGCATTTCTTACATGTAACATTATGCTTTACAGCTTTGGATAGCTTCTTTGCAGTAAAACGACATGATTCATATATATATACAATAGACAAATATTTGTCTTCCTTTGTTTTTTATCAGCTGAAATGAGTCCACCAACATATATTTAATATTAATTATTAGGACAAAATAAATTATCTAATTCTGAAAACATTTTTGCTGTCATTTTTTTTGGGAAATCGTTACTTTGATATTCTTAAACCAGAAAAGATATGGAACAAAATTCTTTACTTACTCATTGCGCCATTTTTGTCGTTCTGAAATCATTGATAACTCATCATTTATGTCATTTATTGAAAATGGACGATAAGTGTGAGTGTTGGTGGTATTGAAAAAAAAGACTCACACTTACATACACACCTAAGTGCCTGATTGAACAACAGTTTCATGCAGCGTCACAAAAACACATTACGTGTCAGATGCATCTCAAGAAAAAAGTACGTTAGAAGCCTACTCCATCACAGAGATGTTCATGGTGACGTTGCCGCACTGCCACTGTGACGCTGTAGGTGGCAGCTTTTTGTAGGGATATTGTAAAGTTGCATCAATTAGTACTCGATTTGAGTATCGACCAGTTCATCAGACAGCTAGTCTAGCAACAATGACGGAAAAAATTTTGAAAGAATCAACTCTTATGTTTTATTTTTAAGCATAAATCGAATGAAAGAGACTTTTGATAGAATTATATCAATGATTAAAATTCAATTGCATAATTCACTGACTATTCAATAGTTTCTTTTTCAGATAATCTTTGATATGTAGAGTATTCATTGATGAACTATTCTCTCTCACTAAAACCGTGATTTATAGTTAAATGTTATTAAATTTTTAATTCAAAATATGCTAATATAAAGATTATTTCGAACGTGTAGCCTCCATAATAAATCCATGCATGTATGAGCAATCTTTCAATATCGTTAATTATAAGAAAATAATGGAAACCATTTGATATTTATCATAATGAAGCAAAAGAATCATCGGATATAATGACATTTTGCTGTCGATAATCGGTTTCTAGAAGATGAACTATCCAAAAAAAAAAAAATTAAAATTGAAACGAGCAAAATATAAACGTCACTATCGACATCTATTGTGTGGGTTTCTAACACATATAATTATTATTAAATTTAAATTTTTATCAGAAAGTAAAATGCCCTAAAAATTTAATTTTCTTTTCGATTTGAGTACTTAACAGAGTTCCATATAAATATTTTAATTGCTCAGAAATACACCAATTCCAAATAAAGTTTTCGTTTCACGTGAGATACAACGATTTAATTAAATCTTCTTAAAATATGGAATCACTTGATACATTTAGTCGTTTTTTTCCAACAACAAATGCCAAAATAGATAATCTGAAGTATTGGATTCATTAATATTTCTCAAATAGTGATAAGTAAGATAGATTCTTTAGATATTATTTTCGCAAATGATAAAAACATATTGTTCCATTTCAATTGTCAACACGACATAAGATGGAATCGATAGTTACCTCACTATTGAAACGACAACAGTTTGTATAATAAAATGATTTGTTTTAGACACTGGTAGCTATAACAAATTCAATATATAATCCATGTTGACATAATTCAATAAATGAATTATAATTCAATAAGTAAATTTAATGTTACATTAAATAATTATCAATTTAACGTATTCTGTAGTCGGTAAAAGAAAAAATAGATACATAACTGTGATTTAATATTAAAAAATCATGTGCAGCAAAAATGAATAGTCTATTCTTTTCGTATGACCTCTAACAAATCACTGTTCATTCGATTTATAAAACTGACTTATACATTGACATGTAATATGCAAATAGTTAAATATCTCTTTCAACATTTATTATCAAACTTGATGTTGATTTTAAAAAAAGTTCTAGATGATTTATGATGTCATTCATACATCGAATAAAAAGTTTGGACTACTCACGCCATACAATCGTCGACATTTTTTTTTTCTTTCTTTCTTAATGCATACAGCTGTGGACGCTATTAGTTTTTTTTTGAAATAATGTTGATGACGAGTCACCTGTAGTACGATTTTTTTCTTTCTTAAAATAGCAGCAAAATTCTTCGATGACTAATCATTATAACACAGAAGACTTTCATAGTAAATGATCAGACTATCGAATTAGATTTTAAATAAAAAAATCCCTTGAGAAATGCTGCCAAATGTGTTGAGATCAAAATCAATATATTATTGATGCAAAGACGCATATAGATTTGATTGTTTGGTTTTCCTTGAAAATTCCTAGGGAGTTTTATTTACACTAGTTATTTTTTTATTATTATATCAAACGTATATTTTTGTGAAATACAATGATTAATTCTTTGTTGAAAGACGAAGATTGTAATAAATACTTCGATCTAGTATCATCTGAGAGAAAAAAATAATTAGACTTTTAGATATTTGTTATTCTCTTGTCATTAACTAGATAAGTTCTTTAAATCTTCTCTTCTTTTTGAAGTCGTCAGAAATTTTTGATTGATTTTTTTATGATTCTATTTTTCAGATTTTTGTTTTGATGTTTAACAAAATATTATTATCTTCATTATAATGGATAATATGTACAATTATGATTATCAATTTCGATTAATTGTTGTTGGTGATTCAACTGTTGGAAAGGTTAATAAATAAAATAAATAAAAAAAAAAAATTTATTTATTTTTCTTTTATAGTCATCATTATTACGTAGTTTTTGTGATGGTGTTTTTTCTCAAGATCCAGTAAGCTTTATATTTCTATTTATTTAAATATTAAAAACCATTCTGTTGATATTAGGATCCTACAGTTGGTGTTGATTTCAATGTACGTATCATTGAAGTTAAACCTGGTATTAAAGTAAAATTACAACTATGGGATACAGCTGGTCAAGAACGATTTAAGTAATAGTTGCAAAAAAAAAATACCATAGATATTAAAATGAAGGTTTTTTGTTTTCTAGAAGTATAACACGTGCATATTATCGTAATTCAGTTGGTGTTCTTTTGATATACGATACAACAAATTATGTTAGTTTTACACATGTAACAAGTTGGTTAAATGAAGCTCGTACACAAATTCAACCATATCAATGTGTCTTTCTTCTTGTTGGTACTAAAATTGATCGAGAATCTGAACGACAAGTTAGTTTATTAAATAAAATAAGTAGACCAATAGTTTTGAGACAAGATATTTATTTATTTTTGACTCATTGGAAAGTATTTCTAAGGAGTTGTGCATTTTCTGAAGATACATTTCGAAAATTCAGCTCACGTTAGTTTTTATTCAAGAGTAGTGAAGAAAATTTTAACAAGTCCAAAAAAATGAAACTGAATGATGAACTAACAAAACTTTTGCTAGCTTCTATAATTTATTTTTCCAAGGTTTCAACAATTATCAGAGTCAAGTGGACACTTAACAAAATTCTATATTGAACTAAGCTATAACTTTCATTGAAGTACAACTTTAAACATTCTTCCAAGAACTTCTTCCTATATAAAGATTCAATTTTTCAAAAATGAAGATTTCAGAGAAGAAAAAATTAAAGTAGCCTGTTGAAAAATTCCAATAGTACATTTTGTAAAGTAACTTTGGATTTACAGGCTAATACATTAATAAAGGTTTTAACTTTTACTTTCAAGTCGCAATAGTGAAAGGACAAAACTATAGGAAAAAATCCTCCGTCCAAATTATTTTTTTGACAGTGCAAAAGATAATCTTATTGCTCTCAAGAAAACTTCTAAACCTACATTCGTAAAGAGTACAAAATTCTAGTCATAATATATAGATTTTGACTTTTCGAAAACACTTTGAAGGTAGTCAAAAATCAGACATGCGACTGATGTGATTCGTTTCCCAAAAACTGCGAACCGGTCCTATCCCTATCGAAAATAAAGAATAGGTGGTTAAAGGTCGAAAGGAAAAATGTCGAAAGAGAAAATGTCGAAAGGCAAAATGTCGAAAGCAGATTGTCGAAAATCTAAATCCTTTTTGGTCACAGATTTCGCCCTCACCCTCACTGTTGTGCTCTGTGAATGTGTACCGTATTACATTCTATTGATCAAATCTTCGAAAAAGTTTTTCATCAGGGATTAACAAGGATTTACAGGGGTTCATAATTTTCGACATTTTGCTTTTCTACATTTTTTTTTCGACATTTTCACTTTCTACATTTTCCTTTCGACATTTTGACACTTTACCAAAATAAACAAACATTTTGTCTGAATACTTTTGGTTCATGTGACATGTAGTAGCTTATTTTTGAAATGATGTTTCTATTAGGTAACAACAGAAGAAGGAAAAGCATTTGCTGATTTTCATAATATATCATTTATTGAAACATCATCAAAATCTTCTTTATATGTTCAAGAAGCATTTGCACTTATCGCTCGAGAAATTTATGATATGTTAATTGAAGGACGTATACATGTTCAAAATGGGTAAGTTTTTTTTGTCTTATTAATTTATTTAATTTTAACATTTTGTTTTTCAAGATGGGATGGAGTAAAAGCTGGTCCTAAAACTGCTAATACAAATCAGAATCAATCAATTGATGTAATACAGAATATTCAACCACGACGGAGTGGATGTTGTAGTAGTTAACGATGTTTCTTATTCTCTTGATTGCATGTTTCTTCTTTGTATATTTATTCTTTCCTAAGCAGTATGCGTGCGAGTCTGTATTGGTTGCCTGTCCTGTCTTCTTTTTTCTCTTGTTATATACATATATATATATATTTTTTTTTCGGAAGAAGGATAATCCAATTTTTGGATTATATAATTAAGACATTTGTATTTTGTTTCTTTTTTCTTACAGAAAAACTTTCTATATTTATGTCAGGTTTTGTGGAATGTATATTTTGATGTTCTTTTGTTTTTCGAATTTGAACCCTTGTATTCATTTTCTGAAAATGTTTAAGAATAAAATGAAATCAAGCTAAAATTAGGATGTTTTGTGTTATTTTTTGCAGAACTATATGTATACTTAGTAGACATTAAGTTCAAAGCTTAGTTGTCTTAATTATTGAAACTGTATTGATGAGTAAATTAGAACAATACATAGCGTCTGATGTTAAAATTCATATCGTAAATGAAACTTTATATAAACTTTAAGGGTAACAAAAATATTAAATTCAATTCCATTGTCTGTCTTAGATGTTAAATTATTTCATTATTTTCACCAAATAAATAATTAATATTTAACCACAATAATGAGGTGCATATTTCTTGTTTCGATAATATTAAAAAAATTTGTATGAATTGTAACTTTTTGGTGCGATTGCTAGAACTAGACTTAACAATGAAGCTAAACAATATCTAGATAGTACATTTTATCATGTTCAATGTCTATGTTACACATCAACACTTTCCTACATATTCAGTGAGCTATAACTTACTTCAATGTAACCATATCGTAAGAAATGTTATATAATAAGAAAACGATTGCAGTTCAATGAAATTTCATATAATAAAACTTCTTATTAATTCAGAACGAACGTTTGCAATGAAAGCAGGATTACATTCTGCAATGTAATCAGTGCAATAATATAAAATGCAGTCCATCTTGTTTCACTATTCCATGAAATATCGTAGTGGAACACGAAAACTCTATGTGATAAAAATACTTGTTAATTAGAATCCATGTTCGGAATAAAAGTTCGTCGATTTTTCACAATGGAACAGCTTCAAATTGTATAAAGTATTATCCATTTTGATTCATTCTCTATTGAAATTCTACATGAAAAAAAAGTCGTTTTATACGTGGAAAAATAAGTATTTAACATACAGTATTTAACACGAAAGGAGATAAAAAGAGAATTTCCTTTCTTAGTGCACCCCTATTTAAAATACAATTTTTTCATGGTTTTGGACGATGAGAGACTAATAACATAGAGACAATCATTCAAAAGTATCAACGGAAACAAAAGGCATTAGACGAATAGAACTAAAATTATAATCATCGTAAAAAGTTACCATACACTAATATATTATTTTTAATAAACAAATTTTCTCATTGAAAGAAACTCTAAAGTCTATTAACTTGCGACAGCTATTCCAATAACCTGGAAAACCTGAAAAAAAGTCGATAAAAATACAAAATTCTAATTACTTTATCCTGATTTGAAAATGATGTTTTGATAAATATTAAAGAAGAGATTTGACGTATTTCTATGTTTTCTTATAAAAACCTTATTAATACATGATTGCATTGAAGCCGTTGAAAAAAAATCGTGTAGATAAGGCTTAATTTCTTTTTTTGTAAAATTACACAGGAAAAGATTTAACGATAGTAAAATATAAATTTCAGTCTTTTTTTTACTTTAATTTTTATTTCATCACACAAAAACACATTTATATATATTTATATATATATATTAATACTTGCATAGAAAAAGAACAAGTAAAAAACAAAACAATAAATATGATATTCTTTTAGTTGAACTCTTATTAGTTGTTAAATATCTATACGGTTTTTTGTATTGTTCACAAGTATCTGAATATCTTAAACTATTTTCAAGATTTATTGATGGTAGACCAATATTAGTACAACTTGATTCAGATAGTATCCAACTTGCTGTCATTGATTTTAATGGTTGAATCTATAATAAAAAAAAGAGAACTTAAATTAATATGGGCAAGAACAGAAAAACATTTTTTTTCCTACCAAACAAAAAGCTCTTGTTTGTTCATAAAGAAAAATAGTACGTTGAAATCGATGATCTGAACGCCATGATGCTAGACAAATACCTTTAATTGATGTTATTACTTGTACATCAGGTACAGTTTCATGACGACATGTTGAAGAAAATGTTAAGTCACTTTTGTTTGATTTTTCACATCCAATTGATAATGTCCAAAGACCGGTTGAACATGTTGAAACAGGTATTGAGGGACGATAGGTAAGTGATGATTTATAAATACCCATTTGTGGACAGGAGATATTCGAAGACGTTGAAGGTTCTGTTTATATTTAAATTAAATTAAAGAAAATGGCATACATAAAAAGAAAAAAGAACACCTACTAAAAAGAGTATAATGTAAATGACTATCTTTACATTTGTGTTCATCAAAACCTAAAATAATATGAAAATCGATTTTTTTTTTGAATAAAAATTAAACATACTGATAGAAAGATCAATAACTAATGGAGATCGAAGGATCAATTGAATGCAATAAAAAATAGACGAACTAAAAGACAAAAAAAATATATAAAAATTTGATTTTAAGAAAAAACTTTACCATTGTTCAAAAGATTTTGCTTTAATACGAATAGTCTTTTCATGTTGTCGACTATTAGAAATAACTCGAGTTAATTTCAAATCATGTATAATTGTTTGATCATCATTAATTTTCATAATCAATTGAGTATTATTAATATAAACCGTATTCATATTCATATTGCTTGTTCCCATAGTTGACCATTTACCTTGAGTCCATTCTGGTAATTGAATCTTTGATTCATGGTGGCCATGATGTATACCTAACGAAAAAAAAACACCATATAATTTTCAAAAGCTCACAACCGAACATATTCAACTGTTGGACTCCGTTCGATCTCGTATTTTGACTATGAATAAAACTCAGTGGAACTATGAAAATCTTATAAGGATTCAGATCTATGTATTATTCAGCCAGAGTTGTCAATGTTTTAGTAAGTTTTCAGCCTCTAAGTCAGACATTCTTGGAAAACTAAACATATGAAATATTCATCTGAAGTCTTGTCCATAGACAGCTCTTATAAACACTAGAATACTCTAAAAATTTCAACACAAACAAATATATTTTTCTTGAGATATTGAATATACAACGTATGCTTCTATGTCACGCAGCAAGTCATAGGTTCAAGTTAATCTAGACACTTGACATCTCAAGAAAAATATATTCATTTAAGTTAAATTTTCGAGAAGATTCTACTGTTCGCGAGATGAATCTATGTACAAAACTTCAAGTGAAAATCTCGTAATTGATTTTTCCACCAATAGCTGATCAATAAACTCAAAAAGCTACAAAAACGATTATAACTTTGACTGAATAACACCCGAACCCAAACTCATTTAGGATTTCCTTAGTTTTCCTAACTTCTACTCATAGGCAAAATATCAGATGGGTTAGCGTCCGCCAGTTAAATACGCTCTCTCGTCGAAGTCGGAAAAACTTTTATCCAATGAAATTAAGATTCCAACTCAAAGAAAAAAATATTGATCTTTTCGGTAGAAATTAACTTAGTAATCTCTTTATGGATTATTTACCCGGAAATACATTTAAAGCAATAGCCGATTCTCTTGTAAGTAAATCTCTACATGTATCATCCATAGATAAATAAACTTCATTGGGTAAACTATGTTGTTCATCACGTTTTGTTTTTGTATAAGACTAAATTTTAAAAAATTTCAAAATTTAACTTTTGTTTCTACAAATAAAAACTTACAAAACAAATAAATCGTTGTCGATCAACACTTCGTGCAACAATATAATTTATATTTCCATCAGTAAAACGAGCAAAACATGTTGCTCTTACATCTATTTAAATGAAAATCATTACAAAAAAAATGTTTTTTTATCAAAAAAAAATATGTTTCACTTTGATTAGTTTGACATCGATTATTATATGATAATTCGAATGTATTTGATGAAAAACAATGATGAAAAGCTTTTGGTTGACAAATTTTTGATATGTGATAATTTTTTTCAAAATACCATGATTGTTCTAATGGACATGGGATTGAATCTGCATTATCTATATGTAATAAAAATATGATTCATTCTTTAATCTAATCGAATTATTCATATGCATGGTAATTTTTCAAACAAGATACAATCTTCTTTTTCGTCCGTAAAAATAAGTTCATTTTGACAAAGTGAGCTTGCGGCGCCGGGAGCTTTGCTAATTTCCTGTGTTTATCTAGGTCAGTGAACATTCATCTGTTCTATATATGTCATGTCGGTCAGTGTTTCGTCTGCTAGCCAGAGAGTGTATTGTAACTGCCTATGGACGTTTTCTTTTTTTTTATCCTATCATGCACACACAACCGGATTTTCTTTTCTATTAATTAATGTTGATTTTGATGGACAGATTACATTTTTTATTTTATTTTATTTTATTTTATCTTCTTACCCCGGAAGAGTGTATATAAAACTGTATCAGGCGTGATTGATCCACAAATACGTGTATTGTCATCGTCTGCATCGAAGCATTCGCCTAGAAGAAATAGACAAGTCATCATTAACACAACGGAAGTTAAAAGAAGAAAATCTTGCATAAGACATATTGTCAAAATAGTCAGTTGTTTAACGGAAGTAAGCATGACTACGTGACTATCGTTTGTAGATGAACTATTGCGTGTATGTATAGAGAACATCAATTGAAGAAGAAAAGAAAGCGAGAGATCTCATCACTCTACATTGATCATTGAGCGTTAATAACAACATTGATCGATTATAATTAAGAAATATTATGACATATTTCTAAATACGTACTTTCTCGATATTGTATTGCATTTGAATGTCTTGGAATAAATAGAATACATCGTTTACATCTTGTCTGTCTAAAAAATAAACAGACATAAATAAATAGAAAAAAAAAAGAAACAAAACAATTTTTGATTGTCTTTTCTCTCTTTTACTTGTGTTCTATTGACACACATTTTTGCCCTTTTACTAAGCTTAGTTTAAAATATTGTATTTGTTTTTATATACATGCCTGACCCGATTCCAAGTCAAACAATGAATATATATGTATATATATATGTATGAGAGAGCAGACGATGAAATCGCGCAAGGTTATTAAATGGATGAACAGCTCAAGCAATTTTGATTTAAATCGTTTTATTCATCGTCTATAAATTGAACACATTCTATTGCTATACTATGTCTGGATTGAATAAAGATGAGAGAGTAGATAGTAAATTATGTTTACATCATTTGATATTAAACAGTTCAAATGAGTAATCACAAAAAAAGAAAGAAAGAAAGAAGAATATGTAACGTACTCATTATAAAAGATAAATTTATTTTTGACATCTTGGTGTCCTACAGTAGCAAAACATGTTCCTTTTAATGAACACCATGTATTATTGATTGTTATCAAATCGACAAGACCCGGCTGTATCCATACGCCGACAAACGGTGTCGAAAGAAAACAGGTCGGCAACGATGAAGCTGATGAAAGACCTAAAACAGACAGAAAAGATAACAGATCTTAATCAGACACTAATCGATCTTGACATTTGTCTACAATATATGTAGAATAATTGTTACTATTTATCAGTTTGAAAATGAAAAATGAAATAAAACAATTTTCTTGTCAAATATTCATACACATATTAAATGACAATATATTTTAATACTTCTGACTTTTTCTTTTTCTTTTTTTTTTTAATTATTAAACAATAATGATGATAAATGAGAATAACCGGCCATATTCAATTTATCAACAGTGGTCATCGTCTCAATAAGCACTTGAACCTTTTTTTTTTCTTGCTTTATAAGTATACTAGTGACGCAAGCTTATAATACTGACAGATGCATACGGCAGCCGTAATCATTATTTCTTTTCAAGACAAACTTCATTGACTTGCCTAACGGATAGAAAAGATATAAACAGAACAAGTGCAGTTTGATAAGTATAGAAGAAAAAAAAATGTATGAATTGTTATTTTTTCATATTGTACCCAATACTATATATGGAAAAGACAATCAAAATGCCATCAGGTTGTCTACGGCACTTTCTATTACGTTCGAACAACACTTATACATATTTTTAATACGGAAATTGAAAATCAATTTTTTTTTCTTCTTTTTCGAAGAGCCAATGGCGATTACAACAACTTTTTCTTTTTTCTTCTGGTATACATAATTGCTTAGTTGAAACTAATTTTGGAACATGAATTATATTAGCATGAGAAAAAGAAACATGACTTCTAAAAATAGAATGGCTCAATGCATCTTTTCAAAGATTTAGATTAGTGCACCTGTCTGAATATAACTTTTGATTATATGATGCGATTAATAATCTTCTTTCTCGAGGGAGAACAAAAAAAAAGTACATGAAACTTACTGAAAGTCAATAACATGAGAAATATATATAGAATTTCACAGGAAATCATGGTCATCGATCCTCATCATTTGATTTTGAAAAAAACATGTTAATTTGCTGTTCATTGTTTTACATCTAAAAGAAAATATATAAGAAAAATATGTCTGTTGTCTCCCACCTATGGTGAATAAAATGAGTTGAGATGTCTGTCTATACTTTTGTCATCTCAAGACACCTGTTACTCTCGAAATAAATGTATGTGCCATACACTTACGCTTGTCATTTTGTTCATCGTAACGACAACCATCAATGTAGTCTTTTTCGCTCTCTCATCATGTCGCAGAACTGAACTTAATTGTGGTAATAAAGAAAACGAGAGAAGGAGAGACGATTTTGTTCATCCGTTCTTTTTTTCTCCTCGGTCTCTCTTTTTCTTACGCTCAATGAACAGAATGAGGGAGAGAGAAAGAAAAAAAGATGAGCATAAAACCGCAAACGCGTGCAAGTAAAAAAAAAGAAAATACCAATGATTGTTGTTATTGTTAGAGAAAGTGACAAGTAGGAGTATCATTTTTCTACATACTACCAGTAATAGTAGTAGAAATACTAGGTGAAGATCATCATCATTAGCTAATGGACTATAGTTCAATGATTATCCGCCTCTTCTACAATCTATCCAGTCAGATGCTATGTAAAAAGAGATTTAAAGCGCAAGAGGATGTGTCAGTTGTTTAGACGTGCGTGTTCGACTGGTCAGTATACAAGAGAAAAGAAAAGAAACATTATAATCACACACGCGCTTCATGTCGCCCTTCTACTTAATTGACATGGTTGGCACGCCCTAATTAGACTTTCTCTCTTCTATTCATCGTAAAGCTTATTCTCATAGAGAACATCCGTTTGCAAGTAAAGAGTAAAAGCATTTTAAATCTCATCGTATTCTTCTTCGCTTTCATTATATCCATATAGATAAATAGAGATAGCTATGATCCTTTATAACCTTGAGCTGAATAAACATACATTTTAACGCACGACAAAATCTTTCTGTTGATCCAGTATAGCCTCAAGTAATCGAGCTTGAATTCATAATCATAATCATTCCTCATCAACCTTTATAACCAACGCAATTTCAAGTCCTTGAAGATAAAGACTGTTACAAATAAACTTTGCCTTTGGCTTATCATGAAAGTGAAATAGACGAACATCTGTATATATGCAAAACGGGCGTTTCATTTTTGTGAACTGCCGACCACCCACTCATTTTATGGTTGTCGCATGATTAGATTTATAAAAGAAACGAAGGGCAAGTCCAATGACATTGACGATAGAGATGAAAATGGTCGTTTGATTCTCTTTTTACTTCACCCTCTATGACACAGGACAACGATGGAATTGAATTAGTCATGTGTCAAACGCAAACGAAAGACCGGAAAAACATGATGAACATATGAAAATGAAGATAAAAAAAGAAATGGAACATGTCATTTGTCGAATTAAGAAGGTCATCTCATTTCTTATAGACACAACTTCTTGATTAACGCCTCAAGTTCAAGTACACTTACTATCTTGATGCCAATGTCAGACTAAAAATTAATATGATTAGAATTAATTCATAAATGTTTCTCTTTTTTTTT